GCCCCTGGGCCCACCTCGTGGCCGGGAAACGCAAGTGACCTGCAGGCCCCAGGCGGGAGGCGGGGTCGCTGTGCCTGGGGCCGCGCTCTCCTTGGGTTGGGAGCGATGTCTGGGGGTGAGACGGTCTCCAAGTCCGGAGCGGGTCGCGCTTGCGATTGCACTTCCGGGTGTGACGGCCCCGCCCTCGAGAAAGAGCCTGAAACGTTGTGGTGGAGGATGAATGTGAGCGCTTGTCAGGTTGCGTCCTTGGTTGTGCGGTTTGATGGGAGTTGAGTTCTAACCGGGCGTCTGTTCCCTGCGAGGCTCCCGGGGGGAAGGGAAGGGGTGGAAGGAAGTTGGAGGGAAAGCGGAGAGGATGGGGCACGGCTAGGGCTGGTCATTCCGGAGATCTTGGTCCCCCAGTGGCCGCATCACCCTGGGGGTCCCGGGCCGAGGAGTTGATCGTTCGGGACAATGAGAGATGCCGATGCGCTGAGCGGGGTCCAGGGCCAGGTGTCAGGGTCGTGCCACCCAGCCGGTCTCTCCCCGGAGGTGTGGTTTCTCACCTGGAAAGGGAAGTAGGAATGGTGGGACCCTTTCGCTGCTGGCTCGGAGGACTCGATGCACGTGTGATGTAGTCATGAAGACTGCTGTTAGCCGGTTATTCCTGTTCTCCTTGAGCTGTAAATTCACGCCTACATTTCCCTCCGTTGGGTTCGCTGCCTCCGCGTGCGTGTGCATGGCACACATTCCCGGAGCTTAAGGCGGGACCTTGGAGCCAAGCCCGAGAGCGCGCCACGTACCGTGTGTTGTCATCCTCAAGACATGTTTTTCCGGAAACCCGGGAACAGGTGTAAAGGAGCGAAGTTACTTGCCTAGACGCAGAGCCAATCCAAGGTAGATTTAAAGTTAACGTTTTGTTTTAAATAACTTTTCTAGAGTTTGTGAGGGTGTTGGACTTTGGCCCCTGGGACCATGCGATGCACTCAGTGCACAGGCGGGCCTTCTGCCTTTGAAAATGCTTATCAAAGAGGGAAAAAGCAGAAGCAGGGAATTCAGACTCAGCTTCACGGTAAAGGGCAGTGGTAGGAATGGGTGGCGGTAAAGGGTGATGGGGAAGTCTTGGCGCTCGAAGCATTCCTTCAGCGTGGCTGGTGAAAGTGTGACATTTGTTTGTTCTCTGTGTTTCTCCGGAACCGTAGGGTGATAGCTATGAATAGGTTAGAATGAGAACTTGAAAACACGTGGCTCTGCTTTTCTTTCTAGGTACTTTGAATTAGGGAATAAACAAATCATTGTTTATTGTTCCTATCTAATCCTCTTTTTTAAAAAAATTCTCATCCAAGGACATCTTCATTGATTTTTTTAGAGAGAGGGGAAGGAAGAGAGGGAGAAACATCAATCATTTGCCTCCCAAACATGCCCCATGGGAACTAAACCTGAAACCTAGGTATGTGCCATGACAGGGAATCAAACCCGAGACCTTTTGTTGTGCCGGACAACGCTCCAACCAGCTGAGCCACACTTGACAGGGCTGTCATCCAATCCTTATGTCAGAATTATTTCATATTGAATTGCTGATTCCTTGACTTTCAGTCTGTTCTCTTGATTTCCATTTGTAGACTCTCTTTCACACAGCCTTAAAGCTTCTGCTCTATCTTTTCTGAATTTTAAGTTCCTGAATGTTTCTCTTTCCTTTATCTGCTGGGCAGTCTTCAGCTTCCCAAACTTTGTGTGACCTGCCGTTTCAGTGGTGTAAACCCTGAAGCCAGATACTTCAGCTCTTGAATTGGTACCTTTTTACAGTAGTAACCACAGTTGTTGTCTCTTGGTGAATGCTGCAGTCACAAACAGTTAGAAGGCTGCTCTGTTTTCTGTGGCCATAGTTGCGGACAGTAAAAAGGAGACAGTCTTCTGAAGCTGATGTCACGTCACTCAGGGACTAAGTGCTGGTGGTTTGTAGTTGGGGTGGAAAGCACAGTTGTAATGAGGTGCTACAGTTTGTTGTAACAGTGATGGTAATAGAGGTACTCTTCTCCCTGTGCCTAACTGTACACAGCATATAGTAGATGTGCAGGAAATATTTGGTAGTTGAATGAGTGAATGGAAAACAGTATGAAGGAAGGGAAAAATTCTAATGCATGTACTAAATTGTTTCATTCCTCTTTCTATGTTAAAAAAAAAAAAGCCAAAAAAATATGTTTCAGATTCCTGTTGAAAATATGTGGTTGAGGTGGGTTCTGTAAAGGGTGTTACTTGCTGGAGCTGCTCTGAGATCAGATTGTGTGATTATGTGATGTTTTAGCCACCTGCAGCCTGGGAGCAGCCCGTGGTGCTCCGGGGGTGAAGCTCCACAGATTTTATTTCAGCCTTCTCCGCCTAGGCCCTGGTCTGCAAACTGCGGCTCGCGAGCCACATGCGGCTCTTTGGCCCCTTGAGTGTGGCTCTTCCTAAGCCTTAGGAGTACCCTAATCAAGTTAATAACAGTGTACCTACCTATATAGTTTAAGTTGAAAAAATTTGGCTCTCAAAAGAAATTTCAATCGTTGTACTGTTGATATTTGGCTGTTGACTGGTGAGTTTGCCGACCACTGGCCTAGGCTAACTGAGAAGTTAGATTGGTAGTCAGTATTTTTGCAATAATAGACCTATAGCTCTTGGTGATTGCCAGTAACATTGACTGCGACTGTCCATCTTCTTGTCCCTTATATTGGGGTGGGAGAGGAGACTTAACCCTCTCTGAGGTGCTTCTCCAGCTCTCTTCATGCTACACCTCTGTCTCTTGTCCTTCCTTGAACTGCCCGTATTACTCCCAAGGACAAGGAATTCATTAGCACAGACCTGGGGTATGGAACAGGAGACCTTACTTTGCAACTAAATCTAGCTTCTGCCCAACTTATAATGTCAATATGATTGCTAGAGGAGTGTAGGAGAGAATATAATGCAAAGCTCTAACAACGATTTTATCTTTCTTACCCAAAAGTAAAAGAGGAGAGGCCTGGCTCTGGACCTGATGTCTTGGGGGGCGGGGGGCGTGTGTCAGTTATCCAGTATAAGATAAGAAAAGGAGGCTGAGGTAGAAAAGAGATAGTAAGCTTCGGTGTATGTTTGTACTTTGGTGGGGTCTGTACTTTCTGAAAAGGTAACAACCGTACGGAGGGGAGGGTAGTAATTTGGGTACATTATAAAAGGAGGCCAAGGAATGTGAAATGATGAACATGTATAGAACTAAGTACAGGTGAGGCAGTGAAGTCCATCATTCCATTTTCTCAAATGCTGACTTTATGCTTTATGTATATAGCAGTATCTCATTTGTCTACTACTGTTAGGGAATAAGATATTATGTGTAAAAAAAACTTTATACTTTTTGTGGAGAAAAACTTACAGTGTATTATGTGCTTTGTTTGCTTTTTAAACAGTATAGTTTAACCTTTGTTTTGTTGACTCAAGGTCATTCCTGGCACCCATTACCCAGAGTAATGGAGTGGGGCTTTGAGGTGATTGAAATATGCAGGTTGTTAGCCCTGTCTGCTTTTTGAATTCTTGAATCTGCCTTTTATAGTCAATCTGTCTCTTCTTTCAGAGGTGGGAAAGCTGTGCTTTTGCTGTTGTTAGTGTCCCTGCTGCCCTCTTTTTAATTTGCAGCTTCTGATCTGTGGAGTAGCAACCCAGATAACTGCCTCCTGCAATTGAATATAAAACAGCTAAATAGGCTTCATGAGGGTCTGCAGCCTCTTCCCTGTTAATGGGTGAACTTTGGCTGCCCAAAAACCTTTTACTTATTTCTTGTTTCCTATCCTTGGTTTAGGTCAGGAGTGGGGGACTGGGTCTGGCCCTGCCAAGGCATTAGGGGTGAGTTAATTAAATGTTTGACCAGTTGCAAAATAGCAGGCTAATTTTTAAATTGATAATTTTGTATGGCCTGTGAATGATATCATAAATATCCAAATGGCCTTTGGCAGAAAAAAGGTTCCCCACCCCTGGTTTAGGTAGTGAACTTGCACTATGTATACGTGCATTTATGTTCCTGTAGTCCTTTCTGTAGAAAAAAAAAAATGATGTGCAAGTACTAGTGTTGGTTCTTGTTTCAGAAAGCATAGCCAATACCACTTGAAAGTCTGGGTCCAGCCCTGTCTTGTATCACTCATGGACAGTGTCTTGGACCATCTCCAGTGTTCCTGGAGCATTTCCAGCTCATCTTTACTCCCACTCCCACCAGTCCCAGTATCCAGGTTGACAGTAGTATTGCCTTAAAAGCTGTTAGCAGGGTATGCAGAAGGCAGCAATTTAGAATTGAATGTATAAAATTGGTATACATAACTGCTATTTCTGCATTTTTTTTACTGTACTGTATGTCTGGATTCATTTTGGGATTTGGTTTCCCTATGTCTGTAAAAAGAGGCCATCTATAAACCAAAGAGCTGAAGAGACCATAAAGGTCTCTCCTCCTTGCTCTTCACTCCTTTTATTCAACAAGCTTTTATTGAGTACCTCTCATGTGCCCTGCACTGGGCTAGCTTACTTGGAAGTACAAAGAAAGTAAAACATATCTCCTGTCCTTAAGGAACTCAACAATAGTAGAGCTAGGCATACCAAAAAGGTGCGTGTGTGTGTGTGTGTGTGTGTGTGTGTGTGTATTTATATGTGTGTATTCGAGGGATTATGGCTAAAGCCACTAAGCCATAATTCAGAGACCTGCTTGAGGTTGTTTCTAAAGTGATTTGTGGCCTGTCAGCTTGACACCCCTCTAGAACATAAGGTTAAAAAATATGAAGTGTTATTGTTGCATAAAGTTTATATACCTTTCCAAGAACTGTAATGAACTGAACAGTTAAGATGGAAAACATGAAAATCTAAGGGAAATGTTCTATTAACTGAAATTTGATATTTCCACACTATATAGGAATTGCATCCCGCAGTAAGCCTTCAATAGTTATACACTAATAACAGAGCAGTGAAATATCTGAAACTTAGAAGGTTCATTATTCTGGGCCCATTTGAAACAATGCAAATTCTTAGGCATTTCCAGAGTTTCTAGATCAGTGAACACTGCCTGTGTTGGTTTTTAAGAACAGATTTCACTAGCAGTATGAGCTAAAAACATTTTTTTCTTTTCCATTTTCAAGGAAGAGGGTTAGAGGGTTGCCCTAAGTCAAGGTTTAAATGGGACAGATTGCAGGCATTGAGTTTTTTTCAAAGAGGGAACAAGCACAGTTGCCTATTTCATTTTCACTCTCACACCCAGGAGGAAAGGCTACCTTAATGCTTCATAATGCCCCGTGAATATTTCAAGTTGGCTTCCTTCACAGGGAACGGTTACAGGATTTCACCTAAAGGATTCTGAGTTTACAGAGATGAATACATGTTTAAGTAGAAGTGAAAGCAGGGAGGAACGGCTAGCACTCAGAACAATTTGGACTCTATGGACAGTAGATTTTCTGTGCCTGTAACTTCACTCTTTTGTTGTTAATCTTCACCTGAGGATATTTTTCCATGGATTTTTAGAGAGTGGGATGGAGAAAGGGACACACAGATAAAGAGAAACATCGATGTAAGAAGTACACATCAGTTGGTTGCCTCCTGTGCCCTGAACAGTGCCAGGGATCGAGCCTGCAATCTAGGTACGTGCTCTTGACTGGAATCGAGCCCAAGATCCTTCCATCTGCAGGCTGACGCTCTATACACTGAGCTATACTGGCTAGGGCTTAAGTTATTCTTTTTTTTTTTTCTCTTATTAATACAGTATTTATTTGTCTTCCTTCTGTCAAACCCTGAGCCAACCACTTTCCCCAGGCTGCCTAGGAAAAGGAACATACAGGGCAGACAAGACACGGGAAAAAGAACTATGGGAGGTGGAGACAGCTCCTTCACATGGCGAAGAGGATGAGAAAGGCCAC